AAAGCAAAATGATCAAATTTTCAGTTGCTTCAGTATGGTAGTCAACATATTAACTAATTTATTTAAACTCGACATTATTCTTGTTTCAAAATTTATTCATTTATTAGTCCGTTATGAATTAATTCATAAGTTCGTGCATTTATATCGTCATCCTTCATTTTGTTTTAACAATTTTTGACCGACGAATAATTTAATGATCCGATGTAATCTGACTTCAAAACATAATTCAGATCAGGTTAATGTACTCTGATTTTGTAAACGTAATTCATATTAGGTTAATGCAATCTCATTTTCAAGACATAATTAATCAGAGCAAATTGATTGTGCCATGAAAATTAGATTATATTTGGCGTTAGAGGTTTTGAAATGATATCAAGGGTAATTTATTAATTATAACATGATAAATAATGAGCGAAAATGATTGAATATTTTCGAGCAATTAATCATTGTTATTTTAAGTCATATATTATTAGTTATTATTAGTAGTAATTGATTTATAATGGTTGTGTCATTGTACAAATTTCAAATATAATCCTACAAATAATTTTATATTTGATATACAACATTTTTGTTTGTAAAAATCCAATATTTACTTTAAAAATAATTTATAGCAGTTTCTATATGAATATAATTAATTTGATTACAGTATCTCTTATTATAGAAATCAGAATCTTTGAAAATTTATATTTATTGTCACCTAAATACAAATCAGTAATACATCAATATATAATATAATTAAAAATAGTGAAATACTAGACTAGTGGTACATTGAAATTTTATTATAGTATATTGAATAATTGAACAATAATATAATAGTGGAATGATGAAAATCAAAATACCTGAGTAACAAAACATTAATAGAATAGTAACAGTAAGTCAGTATCAATTTTTTTATTAGTTCGAATAACGACAGCTTCGTAAATTTCTTAAGTAAATCAAATATTAAATAAAAGAATACAAGCTCTTATTTTCGTAATAAAAATAGCAACCTAAATAATACTCCATTAAGAACAATTGTTAAATTGATCGTAAAAAAGTGATGAGGGTGGTCGGCGACTGAGGGATTTTCCCCTAACCGGAAATTTCGACCTTTAAAAATCTATAAATCAATTTTAACAATTTCTCTATCGTAAACTTCATGAATTTCTCTTAATATTCAGTCCCAAGTATACGCTTTAAAAATCAACACCAAAATTGACAATTCCTAATCTTTCTAATAAAAAATACCAACCGGAAAGAACTAAATAATTCGTCATAAAGAACAATTGTTAAATTGATCGTAAAGAAAAGATGACGATAATTGAGGAATGGATTCTGCTGTAATGAACTATTTTAACTTTTGAAAGTATGTAAATACGTACATTCATAAATTTTAACAATATGACTACCAAAACTTTATGAAATTTTCTTATCAAATAAAATGTTAAATTCCAAGTACATACTTTAAAGGTCGAAGAAGACATCCGAATAAAAATGTGAATGTAAATAAAAATAAATAATGCATCATAAAGGAGAATTGTTAAATTGATCCTAAAAAAGATATGACGATAGTTGAGGAGTAATGGATTCTCCTGTAATGAGAAATTTTAACCGTTGAAAATATAAATATAACAACATATATCCATAAAATTTAACAATGTGACTACCAAAAACTTGAATATTCAAATAAAATATTAAATTCCATATATATTAAAGGTCAACACCGAAGAAGACAAATTCTAATCTTCTCAATATCAATCTGAATAAATTCTAATCTTCTAAATATCAATCTAAATAAAAATAAATAATGCATCAATTATCAAATTAATCAGAAAAAAAAACGAGATGACGATAGTTGAGGAATAATGGATCGCGAACCGATTCGAGACCTTTCTCGTCCAAGGTCGTAGTTCGTAGCGGACGTGCTATAGCGTATACTCTTTTCGTCTGTTCCCCCTCTCTCGTTTTCAAGTTGGCAGCCTGTGGATGAGAAACATGGCGGGGAGGAACAACGTGACCCCTGAACGACGTTCATCGATCGGGGTGCACGCACTCTACCTTCGGCACCGCGTTCTTCTGTCTCCACTTCCCTCTCTTCTTCTTCCTCTCTCTCTGGCTCTCTTTCTCTCTTTCTCTCCGTCTCTCTCTGGTCTCTCCCTCTTCCCACCACTTCCTCGCTCCTCTCTCTCGTTTTCTCTCCTTCTCGTCTTTTCCCTGCTGTTACCCTGCCACTTCCTCTCCGTTCCCATCACGATTTCTCATCGTTACTCCCTTTCAATTTTTCCCACTTCTTTACTTTATGTCCTTGCTCTTGCTTATTGCCAGAATTATTCAAAATTGTTTCATAGAATTTCTTTATGTGTTGGACACGAGACTTATTTTCTAATAAATAACTGAACGCATGGGTGAGATGTGGGTGTATGTTGGAAAGATGTGCACGATATTTGAATTTTTGAAGACACGGACTGGAAATATGGGAATTTGTAAATTTAACACGTTGCAAGTGTGAGAATGCATCGATAAATTTGAGGAGTTGAAACTGTGGAAATTGGAACTTCATAAATTCTGAAATTCGTTAATTTTTAAAATTTGATCATTTCTCAAATATGAAATTTTTAAACTGAAAATTGCAACTTCGTAAATTTTTCAATTTCAGAATTTATAACTGGGAAAATTGGTGCTTCGTAAATTTTTCAATTTCTTAATTTTTTTCATTTGAAAACTTGATCTATAAATTTGTAAATATGATAGCCTGAGAGCTTCCAAATTAAAAAATTTATAAATTTGAAAATGTAGGAGTTGATTCAGATGAAAGTACAGAAAGATGAAAGTTTACAAAGATTGAAAGTATGGAAATGAGGACCTTGATAAATTTGAATATTTAAATTTTGAAAAGTAGCAAAATTAGTTAACTAAATTATATTCAAAAAATCAAATCCAAAAATTGGAATGTTTCTAAATGGGCAAACTTCTGAAAGTTTCTCAATTTCGAGTTTAAAATTTCAAAAATTCCACCATGTTTTTCTATCAGTACTCCCTAAATTTTATTCATTTTTATATTGTAGAAGATATTATAACAACATATTTTGCAATCCTTATATTGATATTATAAAACTAAAAATATGAATTATTTTTAATAATTAATTAAAGTGGGACGTATAGAATTTATGCTACAAATTTAACTATAAAAATTAATATATAATAAATAATAGATAAACTAACTTGTTCAATAATTTGTTTATCTCGATGAAGGTTAATATACAATTTTGATAAAAGCTTCTTAATAATTTTCATAATTAAAAATAATGATTCTAAAATCCGTCATTTTGTGAGGTTAATTTTGTATTAAAATTAAACCTAAACTATAAAAATAAAAATGTAATGAATAACACGTAAACTAACTCATACAACAATTTTTCACCGCAATAAATTTTAGTAAAATCCGCTAAAGAACGTAATAAAAAATACGGAATGTGAGATATGATTTTGACAAGTTCTAAATCCAGTGTTAAACTCGTAGAGTTTCACCATTCCAATTGTATATCACATAATATTCGCCATGCTAAATGTAAGGTGCTTTCCTGTGGCCTCGAACCCACGAGTCCTTAGAAGCATTCACCTTTTATCTCGGGGCTCGATCGAAATTCCTACACGAAGGTACCGCGTACCAAAGAGAAGAGTAACTTAGCCTGACTTCAGAAACGTTTCCTAGAGCGATAAGATCCTCCTTGTTCTACCCTTACAGTTATATTCTTTCCCCTTTTTTCTTTTTTCATCGCTCTTTTTCCTGTGTCTTCGTCCTGTTTGCATGTTTTTATCTTTTATCGTGTTTTCGTTTGCGTTTAAAAAAGCCGCGTTAACGATGCCTTGATAATTATCCGTTACTTATCATTCCTCAAATCTTACTTGATTGTGCTATATTTCTGCAATCACTGTACAATATACTTTGCGACAAGGTTGAAGTTTTTACTGACAGGCAGAATTGAAGATAATAAAAAGCAGACATTTACAGCCACAATATGGTTCTGCAGCTACGGTGTAATTTACTTTATACAAATTTTAAGTCTTAATAAAGTTGAAGATAACAATCTTTTATTTAACTTTCACAGTTACTGTGTAATACACTTTGCAAAAATTTATATTAGAAATTTTATTGAAGAACAAAATTGAAGGTTTCAAAACCTTTAACTCATTCTTCTGTAGATGCTGTATAACATTCTTTACTAAGTTTTAAATTAAAAATTGTGGAGAAAGACAATGTGGAAAATAAAACCAAGATATTTACAACCACGTATCTGTGACTACTGTGCAACATTCGTTGCAAATATTTATATTCAAATCTTTGCCAAGAGACATCTTCAAAAATGATAAAAACATGTTTCAATTTACAAATTGCTGTATTTCACCCTATATTTTTACGGCTACTATAATTGATGCTAGAATTTAATTAAAACCTTTAAAGCCCGAAATGTATAAATTTTTAAATTTCGAATATCAAAATTTTGTTATTTAGTTTTAAACATTTCCACATCTCTAAACTCTGAAAGGTTACATTTATAATTTCAAAAATTTCTAAATCCCTAAATGCAAAAGATTGTGATAATATTTATATTTTAAGAACTTCCAAAATTTTTCATACTCAATTGTCAGATTGTAATGTTTACTAACTCTGACATACACTTATAAAGATTGATAGGTACTTCAGCTACATCAAGAATACAACATACAATAAAACGTTAATATACGTACTAAATGTATATAATTAAAAATACATAATAAAATTTCGCAATACAATTATCTCTCCATTTTACTCCTTGAATCAACAAATGGAACTGATACGCTCCAACAACGTTTTCAGTCCAAAATTCGTCTGCTTATTTTACGATCAGTTTGACATGTTTTCCAGAAGAAATGAAATCCGCTGAGACGAATCTTCGCTCAAAAATTGATTGGAACAAACTTCATATTATTGAACGAGCTTGTATAATATTATTAACATGGATTGTTTGTTCTGTTAACAGGGATGCCGGTTGACTGAAGATGGCCTCGCCGACACTCTCGCTGGAATCGCGCGCGAATTCCATCGGATCCCTGGCCTCGCTGTCCCCGGTCACAGTGAGCGGCAGTTCTCCGCCTGCGAGCGACTCGGCGATCTGCGACGTCGACAGCTGCGACCTTTGCCTCGATTCACAGAAACCTGGAGAAGCGCCCTGCCCCCGGTGCCGCTTAGGAAGCGCCGCCGGCGTCCGCTGTACCGGCTGTAAATCCACCGAATCCGACGCTGTAGCGCGTTGCTTCGACTGCGCGAATTTCCTCTGTCCGAATTGCGTGATGGCGCATCAGTTTATGCACTGTTTCGAGGGCCATCGAGTCCTGAACTTGGGCGATTCCAAATTAGAAACGGTCACCAGCTCAACCAGTAACAGCGAGATGCCGAAGAACAACCTGGTCGTTAACGGTGGCAACAGCAACGGCGAGAAAGTGCTCTTCTGTTCCCGTCACAAACAAGAACTACTGAAATACTTCTGTCGCACCTGTACGGTGTTGGTCTGCAAGGAGTGCACTATCACCGATCATCCTGGTCCGTTGCACGATTGCGCGCATATCTCCGAGGTCGGCACGCAGCAGCTCGAGGCGATGGCGAGAGTGGTCCAGGAGTGTCGAGCCAAAGCGGCGGACGTGAGGGCCGCCATCAAGGCAGCGGATCACGGTGCAGCCCGGCTGCAAGTGCAATATCACAAAGCGCAAAACGAGATCAATGACACGTTCCAGTTCTACAGATCAATGCTGGAGGAGCGCAAGCAAGAGCTGTTGAAGGAGCTCGAATCGGTATTCTCGACCAAGCAGATATCTCTGGGCGTCCTGACGCAAAAGGCCAACGACATGGCCGATAAAATGCTCCAAACCTGCGAATTTGTTGAAAGATTGACCAAATACACAACCGTTACCGAGGTACTGATGGTTAAAAAACTTCTGGACTCCAAACTTCAGCTGCTATTAAATTACACCCCGGACATCGCCAACCAAACCGTGGACCTTGAGTTCGTGAGTAATTATCAAGCCATACAAGTTGGTGTACGAAACACATTTGGCTACGTTCGAAGTAACAACGAGAACAATGCTGGACCCATTGGAAAACAGCCACCTATCGCTCGACCAACAGCGCTTACGAGCAACGGTAATGGCGGAAACAATGTTAATAACGGACCAACTAACGCTGGCTCTTTGGGAGGCCTTCTTCTGGACCGACCCTACAGCAACGGCCTGATATCCAACTCGACCTGCACCTCAACGTCGCCCTCGTCCTTCGACACCAATAGCAGCGTCATCACCAAACGTTTCAGCTCGGCGAACAGCCTCGGTCCATTCTCCACGACCATCAGCGACCTGAATTTGAATGGCATGAACGCGAATCCCTACGAAAAATGGAGCAACGGAGGCAGCGATGCTTACCCGGTCGTCACCACGAATGACCACTTCCCGATGCCGGCATCCGTCGCCGTCGCGGCAAACGCCGCTTCTGGAGATTCTGTTCTCGACCTAACCACGAAGCTCATGTCTGCCGCGGCGATATTCCCACCTAAGTCACAGATTAAACGACAGAAGATGATTTATCATTGTAAGTTTGGAGAGTTTGGAGTCATGGAGGGTCAATTTACCGAACCGTCTGGAGTAGCAGTGAACGCGCAGAACGACATTATTGTCGCCGACACGAACAATCATCGCATCCAGATCTTCGATAAGGAGGGCAGGTTCAAGTTCCAGTTCGGAGAGTGCGGCAAACGGGATGGCCAACTGTTGTATCCGAACAGAGTAGCCGTAGTGAAGACGTCCGGTGATATCATCGTCACCGAACGCTCACCGACGCATCAGATTCAGATATATAATCAGTATGGTCAGTTCGTGCGCAAATTCGGGGCGAACATTTTGCAGCATCCGCGCGGGGTGACGGTCGATACGAAAGGACGCATCGTCGTCGTCGAGTGCAAGGTGATGCGCGTGATAATTTTTGACCAGGCCGGCAACGTACTCCAGAAGTTTGGATGCTCAAAGCACCTGGAGTTCCCGAACGGTGTGGTCGTAAACGACAAGCAGGAGATATTCATTAGCGACAATCGTGCCCACTGCGTGAAAGTGTTCAACTACGAGGGCGCCTATCTGCGCCAAATTGGCGGAGAAGGGATCACGAACTACCCTATCGGGGTAGGCATCAACGCAGTCGGCGAAATACTGATAGCAGACAATCACAACAACTTCAACTTGACGATCTTCACGCAAGACGGTCAACTGGTGTCCGCCCTCGAGAGCAAGGTCAAGCACGCCCAGTGCTTCGACGTCGCCCTGATGGACGACGGATCGGTCGTGTTGGCCAGCAAGGATTACCGACTTTACATTTATCGTTACGTACAAGTACCGCCGATCGGCATGTAGAGCATCGACAAGCCGCGACGCCGGCGATGATCGTCGACCGTCGTACTCATCGTTGCCGTCGTCTCGACGGCTCCCAGACCAGGATCTCATCGATCATTTTTAATATTACACTTGCCTATCTTCTTCTTCGCCCACCTAACATCACCGCTCGTGCTCACTTCGCCTATCTACCTTCGCCCGCTCGACCCACCTTACTCCCGCCGATCACGAGGAACGATCTGTAAGCGCACACGAGCGAAACCAAGTGTTAATCGAGTTATCGAGACTCAATACGACGGGTTTTACTTTATCGGCTACTTTCGCGCAACTTACGTTGATCGCGAGTCCTCGACGTTTCCTGGAACAAAGAAAAACGAGGGAAAAAGGGGAGAAAAGGAAAGTACCCGATGGTGAATGAACGCTCGCGCGACCCGTACGCATGCGCGATCGCGTCTCCAACTAGTGTGCATGCGCACGCTGCCGCGCACGCGCACGACACGTTAAAGGATGAAAGCATCAGAGGCGATTTCGGGAACGCCAATTTTGTTGCGTGCGTTTACGTACGCGAACACTGAAAGCCACACGAGACGCGTTAAAGCGCGTACACGCGGAAAAACTTACTTGTTAATGTTGTTATATCTGAAAATACTGTTGTTGTTGTTTAGTTGTAGAGCTCGCCGCCGCTAGTCACTCCACCCTGTCCTAACCTCTCTCGTGCCGCCGTCCCGTCCCTCGTCAATCCTTTCCCCGATCCGATTTTTTTATTTTCTACTTTCGTGCAAAACTTCCTTTTTTCCTTCTCGATCGAAAGCAAGCGAGGGGCGTTTTCTTTTTTTGTTTTCTCTATCGGATGTATCACGTTCCTACACGTATCTTCCTGGAATCGTGCGAACGAACGTATACCCGTCCGGTTCTTCTTCTGACTGTCGATTCTTTCGATTTGGCTTGGGACTTAAACTCGGCTTACTTATTCTTCGTTTTTAACTCTGATCCAAAGCGAAAGAATTCCGCCATTTTGACGCCGCTGGATCGCAGAGAATCGAGGCGCACGAGAGCTTGTTTCGTCGCTCTCTCTCTATCTCTTCCTCTCACGTACGAGCATACGAAAATAATAAAGATAGCACGAAGTAAGGTGGTCATTTTGTTTAGGAACAGTTTCGATCGACGTCCGGCCGTTTAACGACGTTCGTTTCGAGATTCTCCAGTTTAACGGACATCGATGGTCCTTTCCCACTCAATCCTTTCCCTTCGTCCTCACACGTCGTTTTATTATTATTTCTTTTTTAAGTGATTAAGCGAATATACGTACGTGTTTTTTTTTCCTTCTTGACGAAGCATTTGATAACTATGACAGTGACGCAACAGTCCAACGCCGTTTACTTTGACCTTCTCTTAGTTCCCTTTCATTTCATTCTCTTTTGTTTTGCTTAAGTTTGTTTCTGTTGTTTGTTCCGTTCCCTTGACGATCGGTTACACAAGGATTATGTAGTCCTCGTCACGAGACAATGTCATAATTGTTTCGTCATCTTGTAATGCGCACGTGGGCCTTACGAACGACGTTGACGCGCGTGCACGTGCGTTGTTGGTCAGAGCCAATCAGAGCCTGCCTGCGCAGAACAAACTGCGTAGACGTACCTTTTCCCGTGACGAGGACTAACTCGTGTTGCGAAGGAAGATGAGAAGCAAGAAACGTTCTCTTTTAATTGAAATATCCATTGAAAGGAGTTGACATTCTCTTTTTTTCTTTCCTGCTCGTCTTCCGATCTTCGAGGTAACAAAAATGTTTGATCGACGAACGATAAACCGTCGATCCAACATTTTGTTTCTATTATTCCTTCGACCCGATCTTTAATCGTAGTGGTGTTAACGTAGCGAGTAGCCGTAGTGAGTTATGGTAACGACGTAAGGAACTTTCATTTCCTGTGCCTGCTCTCTTTTTTGTAATTTTGAGTACCATCTTGCCCCCTCTCCCGTCAAAATTACCCCTCACCACCACCTTCATCCAAAACCGACGCTATTATTTACCTTGCTGTTTTTAAACATTCAAAATTGTGTATCATTTCTTTAGTACCATCAGTAAAAAACGAATTTGCGTTAGGGACTTTTTTTGAATTTGATTGTATATTATTAATATATTTTGTTGGACGAGTCGACGATGAAAGGAGCCACGATAGCTCTATGCATGTTTGCTATTAAATTTTTTTTAATAGTAAAATTTATTATTATTATATTATATTATTCTATTATTATTTTTTATTATTATCACCGTCATTATCATCATTACCATCATCAACGACATTATTAATTATTATTATTATTATTATTATTAATATTATTATTATTGTATGTATGTGTGAATGTATGTACGCATTATGATTTTTATATATTCATTTAAGTGCCTCGACACCACGGGTCACGAAAGCGTTACAATCTTTTTAAAGCATATCTCTGATACGAGGAACGTAACATCTTTCAAAGAAAAGATCAAGAAAAGTGTTATTTGTAACGAGGCTAGCTGGCGTTCGTTCATTAAAAAATGAGTTCACGAATTATACGAAGAAGTTTCGAGATGGTGGAAAATTTTCTAGCGTGTCGAATATTAACCCTCAAACGACGGGTCAACGAATCACTAACAACTCAGGGTTGGATCTAGAAGTTTCTCTCAGCGAAATTATTTTTCTCGATAAACGTAGGAGTCTAAACAATAATTTATTGTACTAAGAAAGGAAAGAAGCTCGATTGGCCACTGTAATTTTAGTTTACAATCTGCAACAAATGTTTGGAGAATTGCGAAATTTTCTGAAGTGGTAAATTAGGGCGTTATCGTTCACTGGATACGACCCTGGAACAATTCAAATTTGATTTTGAACACTTACCCATGTTCGTTATTTCAATTTTGAATTATTCATTCAGATATTTCGTAATGTAAATTAATTTCTATAAAATTTTGAAATTTTTATCGCTATGGCCACTTACTCATTTTTGTTGCCACTAACATAATGGAAATTTTTCCATTTAAAAAATAATTTTAAACTGAAAATTGATTAATCTTGATACAGAAACCTGTCATAGATGTAATTTAAAAATTTGACAATTTCAATCAACGCAAAAATGTTTACAGTATAAAATGTTATTTACTTAGAAATTAAAAGCTAAATTTAAATTTCTTTTTTGTAAACTAACAGGAGTTAAAAATTTAATTTTGCTGAGGGATCCAAAGCGTAGTGACTGACAACGTTTTTGCAATATTTTTGCAAAAATTTGAAAGTGTACAATGTTGATCGAAAATCTGAGTTATGTCCGTCGTTCGGTGGTTGACTCATGCGCCTTAAAACTACCCGGAAGTTCTGGAAAGTCTTGCAGCCATTCCAAAATTTTCGGGCCATTCAGAAACGATATTTAATGTCAAATCGGAAGAATTGTTGAATCGACAGTTGCTCTCACAGTTTACGAACCGTTGTTATATATTTTCTCTTTTCGACAACTTTATTTTCTACTCCGATAATAGATGTTTTGTTTGTTTGAATGGCGAGATATTCGTGAACTAAACTAGCAACTGTTTTGTCCTATAAAATGAATTGAACAGGATTCAAAAGATGTTTTGTACAAAAACGTTGAGAAATTTAATCGAAATTAGATCAACGATTAGTAAACATTTGACATATAAGATTTCTTTGATTTAGATTGTTCAAATTAGATATTATTCATTAATTAAACTAACGTAGTTGATTAATGAACGAAAGATTGAGTTCGAAGATTCTTATGTTCAAAACGAATGACGAAAAATGTTTTTAACCCATAACTGATGTGGCGGCCATTTTGTAGAAAATGTGGCTAGGTACATAGTAGTATTACAAGATTTATAAGTGTAGTAAAACGAGCTTATTCGACTTCAGAATTCTATGCTTTTGAGTAAAATTTACAGCACAGTTACAACTGCTTTTTTACGCATAAGAGTCTGAAGTATACTGCAACGACGCATGCGCAGAGCGCAATGTTTAGAATGGAAAAAGTAAAGCTGTACTGAGTTTCTTTTAATAATCTTGAGGGACCCATTGAAAGATAATAATTTATAACTACAATTCTTTATTTAAAAAATAACTCAGCTATATTTGTTAACAAATTATTGGATTCCACATTACCAGTTATGGGTTAAATGTAAGAAAAAATGGCAAGTGGTATGTAGGATGACAAGAGAAGTAGTGGTCAAGTTTTGGTACCATACTCTACGTTTAAAAATTCAAGACTCATACTTTTTTTATCTCCAATTTATGAAAAACTACCTCAATACCTACCAAACAAGTTTTACAAAATTAAATATATAAACACTTTTCTATTTTCTATATAATATGACGTGGATTAAATTTTTCCATAATTTTTGTCCCACTCTATACTTTCCATTTTAAAAAATAGGATATGCTACCAAAATTTACGTATTTTGTCACCCTTCATACCTCTACGCCACGAAAGAAATTTTATGCGCTCTATATTGTCAAAGTGCAGTAGAACCACGTATTTTCCTTGGAGAGGCTTTTCAATCTCTTATGATCGGAGATCCACTTTTGAAGATATTAATATTTCGCAACTTACTTGCAATGAATATTTATAACAAATGAAGGGGAGGTCATCGACCTGATTTGTAGACTGGCAGGAGGTCAAATGGGAAATATTGCTTTACTATTATTAATATTTAACTGATCCACCAAAAATTACCTCGTGATCGACTAAAGGAAACCCACACGACGAGGATCTGAGTGCCAGATAAATTCCCATTTGGGAACGCCTCTTATTCAGGCATGCGCGTAACGACAGTGAACGGCCTTTAAAAGCGATAAATTCCTACTTGGAAACACACCTCATACTTGCGCGTGTAGCATTACTTGAAGAGTGGGGAGAACGCGTGTGCCACTATCGCTTGGTAATCTTCTGCCAAACCCCTAGAGCTCGTAGCGCAGGAAAATATAAAAATTCTACTGTAACTCAATAATTCATCATTCGTTTTCGAAACCTGATAGGGGTTTATAATTCATCTTTCGTTTACTTATTCGAATCTACGAAACAATGAAACCATCTCGTTGTTATGTTTGCAAAAATGGCATTGTTTAGTTAAACTTTGTCAGTTTGATTTTAAAAAAAAGCAACGAAAGTATTGGTTCATTGGTGTTTAATTAACAGTGACAAGGTTGCAATTAAGATCCTGTAATCTTGTAGTAATTATCGTGTATATTTACAGTATTCGATGAACGTCAGGTAGAATGATGGAGGAAAGGGATCGTACTGGAAGCTCATTTTTCCGAAACATTTCACTGCCAAACGTATTACTTAATTTCTTCTCGCTGCTAGCAAATTTTTATGTTCCCGAGACGATTGAAAACATCGAACCCTCTCCTCTGAATTATGTACATAAATTGCATCACGACGTATCTGTCCATTAGTATTTAATGATCGCGTATTGCCGTGTTGATTCAGTTATTAATATTATTATTCGTATTATTATTAGTATTTTTTTATTTTTATTAACTATTCACTATTAATATTATTATTACTTACTATTACTACTATTAAGGATTCATTACTGTATTATTAATATTATTTACGTTCAGTATAATTTTTATACCGTTAGGACAAGTGACGAAAGAAGAAGCTGAGAAGAGAAATGATGATGATGATGCTAACTTGCCAGCTAGCCAATCAATTACGTTATTGACAGAAAGTTTGAGAACAATATCATTTTTCATCAATTTAATATTATATACTGTCATTCAAAAGTCGTAGGACACTCACGATACGTTCTTATAATCTTTAATCCTTGAGCAGTCGATCACATGGGTCAATTTTAACCAAACATTCAAGACTAAATTCTGTTTCTAAACCGTATAATTATTTTACAATTATTCAGTAATTATATCACAGATAAAGCAGTTTCTTTTATTCGTTTTTACATCATTGCGATAATTCATTGTTTCTAATAAGAATTTAAGGTTGTTATATACTTAGTCATTTAAATAATAAGCATGCAAAATCTCTTAAATATAGTTTTGTGCTGAATATTGACAGAAATATGTAACTTCGGGTTTAAATTGACCCAGTGTTGGCTGGCAGAGGATTAATTATATAGAATGTAACAGGTACAGCAATATATGGGGTGAGTCTACATGTAAATATAAATTGTTAAAGAAAGAATCTTATTTTTTTAGTTGGAGACTTGTTTTCGAGAAAATCAGGATATGATGTACTTAGGTGCAAAGTAGGCTTCTGAGTAATAAGTGTAAGGGGCGGAGCTTCCCACTAATAGGAGGAGTTTAAGATAAGCATCTGCCCCACTACTGTTCGTTACCATAGATACGTTGACGCGTTACCATAGATACGTTTACAAGTAACCACTTATCTCAAATAGGATACTTTCCTTGAAGTTCTTCAAGTGTTTCTTTATATCTATCAAGTGTTACGCTGCCTGTCACTATCCTTTCTTTTTAATCGTGAAACTAGTCGTTGAACTTTTTTCAATAAAGTTTTCCTCATTAAACTTTCATCTTTGCTGTAACTGGACAAACTCGCCGCGGCTCTTTGCCAAATTGCAATGTCATGCCTTAATTCCTGTACATCCGGCGGTTCATCGAATCGGAGAACTTTCACATTTCGAAAAATATATCGTAGTTGAACATAGACTACGATTATTACTAATACAACGCCGATGTTCATGTGTATTGTGAATGTGCTGAAATCGACACCACTATTAATAACTTCACGATTAGAAGCAATAATTATGTTCGGTGGATCGCCTATCGGTGTCATAGCATCACCAATATTAGAATAAACTATCATAGCTGTCAATATTGGTACCGGATTTATTGCCATTATTTCGCATAATCTGACGGTTACCGGCGTCATAAAAAGGACCGTGGTAACATTATCTAGAAACGACGAGACAAACGTTGAGAAAAAGTAGAGTGTACTTACAAGCGGCCATAATTTTCCTCCAGTTATAAGCATAAACTACTAGCCAGTCAAATATTCCCGTTTCAGCGACAACAACGAAAATGGTACACTGTTATGGCTACCTCCGTAGCGTCACACGGTTTCTATGGCAACAAAGACGCATGCGCAAAAGATCAATTGAGAATCCCACAGTGTAAATTGCAGTATATTAATTAAAGGACGTCTACTAACTAATATATAGATACTTTAATTGACAAAAGACTAGTATATTTTTCATAATCTGCAAAATAGTTACTATTTCTTTGAAACTAGTTCAGTAAACTAATTTGTGATCACCCATCGTCAAATTTGATTTTCTCGAAAATGAAGCTTCAGACGAAAAAATATTATTTTCTTATCCAACATATTTTTGCATGTAGAATCACTCCTTATCCGATTGTACAAACTTGCATGCTGTATTTTGTATGATGTTAAATATTTAAATGATATAGCTTCGTATGTTAAATATTAGCTGAGTAGAATAAAATGTTTAGTTGTTCAAATGTTATAAACAATGAAAAGCATATTTAAAATGTTAGAAATACATTCTGTTACAATAGCTGTATGCATATTTTATGAAACAAAGCCGGTTGCTAGAGTGCCAAAATTATAAACAATACTACATACGAAGGAAACGAAGCTTTAATTATTATTAACGATTTTGGTTAAACTTTGAATAAATTATTGCACATACCTGTTATCACACACATAGCTAATTATGTAAAATACAGAAGAAAAAAAGACTGTTTTCGTTTAATTATTTTAACAGCTCTAATCGTTTTATTAGGCCTTTATGAAAGTTTAGTAAACATCCCGTGACTTTTAAATGAGACTGTATACATTTCTGATTTCTATATTTCTTTTCTTTTTTTTTATCAATTTTCAACTATACTTGCAAGTTCTCCTTGTAATGTGTAAATTTGCACGTTATATTTACTTTTAGAGATTAATAACAGCAAGAGTTTTAGGAAAAATAATAATAGCCATTTTTTAAATAGCGTTGGTCATATGCAAACTATATTCGCATTAAAAATTACATTGAACAGTGTGTTGACGGAAACTGATCAGAATTTACTGCATTCGTTACTGTACAGTGCCGAGCATGGTAGGGAAGGCTCCCTAGGCAGAAAAATTATGTACAATAGAACACGGAAAACTCGTCGCAATTGTTTAGAGCAACGATGGGCAAATAAATGCCCGCAAAATAGCTCATGGGCATTGGTGTGCACAGTACATACAGCGATGGAGTGAGGATTTCAAATTTTCAAATTCGAGGATTCAGAAATGTGAAATATGAAATTTTCAAATTTACAGAATTGGAAATTAAAAAATTTGTAGATATATTATGTAAAATATTTAAATTTAGAAATTTTGGAATTTATAATAAGAATTGAGAAATTGGAAAATGGAAGATTTAGGAATTTCAGTTTTAAAACTATTTGCTATTTAGAAATTTAAGAATTTTGTAATTTCGAGTTATAGGTATTTCAAATTTTAAGCTTTAATTCTGAAGTTTAGAATTTTCTTTATTCAAAAATTCAGAAATATAGAAATTTCACATTTTCAAAATCGAGAATTAAGGAATTGATTATACCAGTGCCCATGAGTGGCCAGTTGCCCACCACTGCTCTAGAGCCTTTGGATCATTCTACAATCGTTTGGATCAGTATACATGAAAATTGCAATATAAAGAAAGTCTATCCTAACGTTATAAGACCGACAATAATAAAGGGTGCAAGAAATGTGCAAACCCATGTGAAGGTGGCGATATAACGCGAGTCTACTGTACTCGTGTTATTCAGTAATATCGCTCGCAATATCGAGGTAAATGGTGGAAGCCTCCTTTTTCTACGACGCCATTTTCCCCTAGGGAAGCCTACCACGCCCGGTAATAAACGTTTCAATTAAAAAAAGCAAATACAATTAACTGTGACAAAACTATAGTCGTTTCTAAGAGTATGTGTTTTCAAACTTTCTGTCGATATCGTACATCGCCTACCATCTTTTTTTCGTTTTCTTTGCCACTCACAGTGTTTATTTTTCCTCTGCTCTCAAGAGGCGTGCAAAGAAAATGAACGAACGTACCACTTTGATATGCATTATTTCCAAAGTAAGGAACGGAGGTGTACATGTGTGTGTCTGAGTGTTTTATTTCCTCGATGTGTGTGCGCGCGCGCTCGAAACACAAAATGAAACGAACATGCGACTATCTCTCTCCTTTATTATTTTTTTTATACTGGTTTGTTATGTTATTATTTTTAGACGATACAACCCAATTGTTCTTAATTTAAATGTAAATCGTATTTTTGTTTGTTTTTTTAGTTATTTTTTGTTGTAAAATGCTTTTTAATAATATTTTCAGTTCACACTATGTGACCGTTTGGTTTTTGTCTTGTTTTATTTATTCTTTTACTCTTCTACTCTCACTTTTTTTTGCTTTCTTCTCTTGTCCGCCATTATCCCTTCCACGCAAAGCCATTCTTCAGTTCCTAACCTCTAAAATTTGTTACCATAGTTGAATTTAGATATGTTTACTCACATTACTGTGGAACGTTTAATCTTGACTTTTTTTACAGAGAAAAATTTGATACGGTGCTTTGAAATTTAGTTAAGGTTAGATTAGATATAATATTTTGAATATTCAATTTTGCATCAGGTTATTTGAATTTAATTTCAAAAATTACTCATTTCTTATATCATATTAAAGAACAAAATTAGTTGTGGTTCAAAGATAACATTTTTTTGCGTGTATTATTTAATACTACTTTTTATAGGTGATAAAATCAAAGTTCCAAGAAATTAGAGAATTATCATAAATATTACGAAAGAAAAAGTATATTCACTTAGTTCTTACATTTTTAATTTTAAATTACAGTTTTTACATATAGAACGATTCTTTCATTGTACAAAAAAAGTATTGAAATACAATACTAAGATTTTGATCATTTGTGAATTATATCAAGTTTTTAGTTGCAAAGTGTATGTCCATTTAATTTTGAGGTTATTCAAGGAATATATTAATGGAATACAGTCTTAAAAACATGATATTTCCAAAAGTTAATAGTTTTACTTCTAAATTATTTTAAATTTTGCATTTGAGGTTTCGAATTTTGAATTTTAACCTCAGTCGATATTTCTTTTGTACACAGA